CCGGCTGGGCCCGTGCCGCCGTGGTACTTCTCTGTGCCTCTGAGCTGCTGCTGCTCCTGCTGCTGCCGCTGAGGGCCTTCGCCGCTGAGGGCCCAGCCGAGACGCCCGGCGAGGCCACCCCACCTCTCCGGAAGAAGAAGGATATTCGCGACTACAATGACGCGGACATGGCTCGTCTTTTGGAACAGTGGGAGGTCCGCGGCGCGCGCACCCTCCAGGCTCTTCTCTGTGCCGGGCCCCTTCCCAGTGACCTCTCACCTCCTCCCTCTTGGGACCCTTTAGACCTCCGTCTCGGAATCTTCCGACCCACTAACCTCCTCTCTACGCATGCCATGAGCCCTTACTGACCCACTCCAGCCACCACTAATCTTCAGTGCCTCCTCTGACCCCCGATCACCCTGCTGACCCCCGTCCCAGGACATTCATCCCAGTGTCCTCTTCCACCATTCCCTGGGCCACTCCAGTCACGGGTCAGCCTCTCCCTATTCAGCCCTACTTTGCCTTCAGTGCCCTGGCCGCCGCGTTGCTCCCCGTGGTCAGTGCGCCCTGCTAATGGGGAGGGAGACCTTTTCCATTACACTCCTGAAGAATGGGGCGAGTGGATGGGAGAGGGGCATCATGAGGATTATCTTTCAAGAGGGCCGTTTCAGCTTTCATAGTTCTCCCGTGTTCTAAATTAGTAGGAATTCAGAGTGCCCGTTTTGGTTATATGTCTCTGCCGAGAGTTTTTGTAATTTTGTGAGTAGCTTTAATTTGAGGGGGGAGGGGGTTGGGAGGCGGTAGCAGAGGCTAGTGGCGCTCTCTCATGGAGCTCACGTTTTTCGCTTAAGGGAGCAATGATTTGTTTTTGTGAGAGTCAGTTTTCTGATTTGTTACTTGAATGCACTGGAGTGTGTAATTACAGGGAGTGGGTAATAACCTTTTTAGGTAGGGTTGACTAACCAAAACCACGTTGCTGCCTCTTTCGCATCCAGAGGTGGATGTCTTGTCCTGGTTCATTTGCACAGCTGGCGAACTAGAGTCAGAAGCTTGGGTTCTGTTCACTGTGTAACCTTGGGCAAGTAGGTCTCCACTGTAGACCTCTGGTTCCTTATGTGCAGAATGAAATTTTACTGGATGATTTCTTTCAACACTGATGTTTTGTTATTTTGTGGTTATCTGTGTGTGTTTGTATTGGATAGAGGCTTTCAGACACGAGTTTAAAGTACCATCTGATGCATTTGACTGGAAGACAGCAGTTTTCATGTTGACCTGCAGCTGAAGGAAAGCTCAGGGTCGATCTGGGTGTTTGCCAACCACTAAGGAAAAAGGAACTTGGTGCAGCAGCTCCTTCCCCACTTTCCATCTCCCTTGCAATCTCCCAGTTTCTTTTTGGACTCTGGCAAATGCAGTTTTTGATCCACCAAAGTGAGAATCGCATCTCGTGCAGAAATCCTAGCCTGGAAACACTCAGACCCTGAGCAAGACAAAAAAGGGTGCTGCAGAGGTGTACAAGGGATCCAACCATCGGGAATAGCAGTTAACGGTAAAAATAACTGCAGTACACAGTAGAAATGGCTGAGTGCTATAAAAAGAAAGTGCTGTGGGAATCTCAAAGGGTTTCAGGAAGGAAATGGTGTTTTAGGTAGACCAGGGAATGTGGGAGAATGGCATTACTAACCGAGCAGCATGAGCTGAGGTGGATGGGACGTGAGGGGACAGGGCAGAATGCTGTAAATATATATATATATATATATATATTTTT